GATCGAGCACAATGACGTTCTAAGATTCATATAGCCGACCCCACTCAGTGAAGAAGGCTTTGGTGTATTTAACACAATACGTTGGAAATGAAGCAAAGCTTATTTATTGATATCTCCGATAAGTTACAAATATGTACATATACATGAGTCAAAATAAACAAACAAGAGGGAGCCTTCACAAAGGTTGCTTAGGAGAAGTCTCAGCAATCGGTAGAGCCCCAGAAAGAGAAGGCATCGGAGGGGGATCATTCGGCGCCTCAGTACTGGACAGAACCCTAGAAGGAGGAGGCATTGGAGGTTGATCATTTGGAGCTTCATTATGCGGTACAGCCTCAGAAAACGAAGGCAATAAATGCCTTTGGAACAAACCCACAAACAGCTGATGATCAAGTAAAACCTGACCATCAGATTCCTTCATCTGGTCAAGCTTCCTCTTCATGTTTGTAGCATAGTTATGTGCGAGCCGGTGCAACTGTTTATTCTTATGCTTGAGCCTTCTAATCTCCTGTTTGAGACTCATCACTTCAGCCGCCAATGATTCAACTTGGCGGGTTCGAGCAAATAGGCGTTGGGCCATATTAGACACAGAACCTATACACTGAATACTCAGAGCCAGAGAATCCTTAACAGCCAATTCATTAGACCGTTTGGAAAGTAGTCTGTTATCTTTGGGAGTGAGAAGGTTCCTGGCTACCACCGCAGCGGTCATATCATTCTTCATCACGAAATCCCCAACGGTAAGAGGACCAGTAGGGGATAAGAAAGATGGGCGCCATATGTTGTCTGGAGAAGGTGTGGCTGCCTCTTCAACAATGTTCAAGTTAAAACAACGGTCGGAGGGGCCAAACATTTTCAATGGTGTTGAAGAGAGAAGAGGTTGGACAAATCAAGATCTTAGAAGTGCAAGAAGGGAGCTTCTACTGGTGAAGATTCAAGTGTGCTTTGAAACTTAATGCCAGCCTCTATAAAAATCTGCACTCGACGGAGCTTCAGAAATCGAAGAGGCGTTTGCCCAGAAATCGAAGAGGCGTTTGCTTTCTCAAAAGCTGGGCTGCTCAGAGACCACGACGGTCGATCTCAGAAATCGAATAGGCGTTTACTTTCTCAAAAGCTGAGCTGCTCAAAGATCACGAAGACCGATCTCAGAAATCGAAGAGGCTTGCTTTTTCAAAAGCTGGGCTGCTCAGAAACCACGGGCCGATCTCAGAAATCGAAGAGGCACTTGCTTTTTTTCAGCCTTATCAGCACCTATCACATGCACACTCATCTTTGCTGAAATTACGGGCATTCTGTTGAAGATTTCTGGTGAAGTAGAAAGCACGTGAATCTTACTATTCAATCATCCACTTTTCACACGCACCATCAGCTCAGGGGTACCACAGATAACTTTGCCAAAGATCTCTGACAAAGTTTAGACACGTGAAGCTTACAGCTCCCACTACATCGCTATGACCAAGAAGGGTAAAAGAATAACAAAGAAACAGCACTAACAAAGTTTAGACACATAAATTTTGAAGGTCTAGCTATCATATTATTACCCACAAGGGTAAAGGAACAGCACCACTGTTGGATAATTGGAAAGTCCCTGTGTGTCAACCTCTATGCTCCGTGGCAAGGTATACTAGCAAACATGCCCTACCTTGACTCACATTCGAGAAAACACTCCCAACAAGATTGCTTGCTCCAAAATCGGAGAGGCACCGTTCTCCGAATCTCAAGAGCCAGACTCCCAACATGATTAATTTCTCAAAAATCGAAGTGACACCGCTCTCCGAATCTCGAGAGCCAGACTCCCAGCAGGATTGCTCTCTCAAAAATCGAAGAGGCACCGTTCTCCGAATCTCGAGAGCCAGATCCCCGACAGGATTGCTTGTTCGAAAACCGAAGAGGCACCGCTTTTTCAACTTCGAGAGCCAGATCTCCTTGGATAAAGCTTGTCTGTAATCTTCACACGCAACATCAGCTTTCCAGATACCATAGACCACTTTTCAAAGTGCTCTGACACACGTGAAGCTGGCAGCTCCCACTACCATGCTATGACCAAGCAGGGTAAAGGAATAACATTACTACTTGTTGTTAGGGAGACTCCTATATATGTCGACCTCCATCATCAACGGACAGGCAGACCTGCAAAAATGCTCAACCCTTCCTCATATCTGAGAGGGCACTCCCAACGAAGCCTTTCGAAATACTCAGCTTTCTTTCCCCCCGATAATACCTCTGCAAACAAGTTACACCAGAGCAAGAATATCTCATATCATCAGGGTTAAAAGCAAGAGTATCCCATATCATGCTTTTTCCCTGTCTTTTCCTTTGGCCTTGTTCTTACCTGCAAGACAAGGAGAAAGAGAGTAATCAGTCAGCACTTGGAATCAAGCTTCCAGTCAGGAACTGACTGCCTGGAACCCCTTACCTGATTACTTACCTGGCATTGCTCTCGAGTACTCATCTTCAACATCTTATGCTTCCAGAGAAGATACCACATCTGCTTGAAGAACCGATAGGGAAAGTAAGAAGGATACAAGGAAGCATGTGGAGACAAGCGTAACAGAACGCGTGCCGATACATCCACTACTTTGTCAACAGCAAAAGTATCCCATATCAGCAGGGTCGAACGTACTCTAGATTTGATGGACTTGTTTTGACCCTTAAATTCTTCAGTCGGCCTTATACTCTGGAGGAAACCAGAAAACCCTCCAGCCCAGTTCAAGAATAAGCCTGTGGAAAGTTACTTCTTCAAAAGCAAAAGTATCTCATATCATCTATTCTCCTTTTCTTCTCTTTATCCTTCATGCTGCTTGCAAGATAGGGAGAATGAGAACAATCAGCCGGAACTCGAAATCAAACTTCTGATCTGGGACTGATTGCTTGGAGCTCTGATTGCTTACCTTGTCTGTCACCTCTTTCAGTAGATCCCCTAGCTTGGCGACTTGGGGGACTCCTACTACATGGTTTGTATCGCGCTTGACCAAGCCTGAAACTACAAGTAAGCTTCAAGTGAAATTGATACATTACCTTGTGCATCTCCACCAGTTAAAGATACCACCCCTGGATGGAGGAAGAGTACTTCCAGAGAAGATGCCACATCTACCTATGAGACAGATAAGGCAAGTGAAGACGATACCACACTTCGGTACTTAGAAGTTTCGTGATTACGAGATCATTCTCCCACAATATTTCCTAATGTCATTTGTACTAAATCATTCATTTGTACTCACTAAAGGAGAGCTTGAACCTATGTACTTGTGTAAACCCTTCACAATTAATGAGAACTCATCTACTTCGTGGACGTAGCCAATCTGGGTAAACCACGTACATCTTATGTTTGCTTTCCTGTCTCTATCCTTTTACATACTTATCCACACTAATGACCAGAGCAATAACTTAATACTTTCTGTTGTACCAAAGTCCTCACTGATTTTGTGCATCAACAATCCTTAAGTCCTTACCCTTTTGCGTTGGTAATGGATGAGTTAACAGGACATATTCAAGATGATATTCCTTGGTGTATGCTTCTCGCAAATGATATAGTGTTGATAGATGAAACTCATGAGGGGTAAATGCGAAGCTTAACCTTTGGAGAGAAGTGTTGGAATCTAAAGGTCTTCGCCTAAGCCGATCAAAGACAGAATATATGGAGTGCAAGCTCAGTGCAAATGGAGGCCAAAATGAGTTAGGGGCGAGGATTGGAGATCAGGTAATACCAAAGAGCGACCGTTTTCGCTACCTAGGATCTATCTTGCAAAAGAACGGAGAATTAGATGGAGATCTCAACCATAGAATACAAGCTGGATGGATGAAGTGGAAGAGTGCATCCGGCGTGTTGTGTGACCGTCGTAGGCCACTGAAGCTCAAGGGAAAATTTTATAGGACGGCAATAAGGCCGGCGATGATGTATGGCACAGAATGTTGGGTGGTGAAGCATCAACACGTACACAAAATGGGTTTGGACATGTGCAAAACCGAGTGCAATGGCGTTCTAGGATTCATATAGCCGACCCCACTTAGTGAGAAAATACTTTGTTGTTGTTGTTGTTGTTGTTATGGTTGTGAAGGTCGGAGGATATTCTCGAAGAGAAGGAAGACAATGAATTAATCAGAGGTCGTAGGATTCCTTTGGAGATGGGAGATTTGGCCAAAACCCTAAATGATTCACTCTTGCATTTGTTGTGTAACCCTTTATTAGCCTTTTTATAGCAAGAAATAGTGGGTGCCTAGTGGCAATTCCCATCCAGCACATATATTGGAATAAGTTTGATGAGGAATAAATAAATATTAAAAAAAAAGTGGCCGAATTTTTCAAAGTAAAGTTTTAGCAAAATTGCAGAATAATACACGTACGTATTTTCACATACTATATCCGCTCCGTATTTTACTAACTATGGTTAGGGGCTAAAAGGCTATAAATATTCTTTGTTGCCTAAATTTCTTTTAGCACCCTGAAATTTATTTAGGAAACCTTTAAGGGAAGGGTTTCCCCTTTTTTCTTATAAAAATGGGGATTAGTTGCGGGGTCCACACCATATTGAAATTTAACGATCCGAACCGTCTATTTTTCAAGTTGTACCTCATAGATCATCCTTCCAGAATATTAGCCAAATCGGAAATATTTAAGACATCTAATTGGGTTCAAAGAATGAACGAATACTTTGTTATATAAGAAACAATGAAATTTGATCATAATAATTAAATAGGCAAATGGCTTCGGATTGAATTGAATTTTTATAAGAATGATCTATGAATCAAGACTTACAAAATAAACGGTTCGGATCCTTGAAATTCAATGTGGAGTGGACTCCACACCTAATCCCCATTTTTATAAAAAAAAAATAATAAAAATCCATTTGCATAAAGGGCCTGTAAATTGATTATGTAAAATGAGGAAAAACTTATTAAGTATTTAAGAAGGGAATTCAGAAGAAAAAAAGAAAAAGAAAAACGTAATGTTTTTTTTTATTTTTTATTTTTTGAAACGAACATAATGGAATTGTTATTATTAATTAAGTAACCGTAGAAGAATAGTTATCATACACTTTGAAATATTACAAAATTTGGAAGGCCCGAAAACTAAAGGTAGCCCTTGATAAGCATAGTACAAAGGCTGGAAAGCAAAGTTTGTAGGTGCAAACTCAAGCCTTATATCATACATACAAATTAAATAGGGTAAAATGGAACTGTGACCACTCCTCACTTGATTGGAACAATACTTTTCACATAAATAAGAGCTTCGAAATCTATGATCTCATCGATAATAGGAGGAATATGAAGATACTTGAGATTTCTGGTACTAGAATTATAGGAGGTGGCTCTTTTGTCGGAGGCAAGCATAAGAAGTTCGTCACCTTTCCAAAGTGTCAATGGATAACGAATGCCTTTAAGGGGTCCAACGGTTAGGAGTTTCTTCCATGAACTCTTAACTCCGTCATAGTTGTCCATCACCCATATTTCAAATAATGTAGAATCCTCGCTTGGATCGTAATGAGAGCAATAAGAAGTGACTGATTCATTATACAGAAAAAGACTATAAAACTTAAAACCGGATTCTTTCCTAGAAGGCAATTGTATTCTGTAAAATATCTCATCTCCTAAGTCAAATGAAAGTATGTATTCCTCGCCATCTGTTGCAAACCAATAACAAAATCCCTTCAAGTACACTGAACAAGAACATGGATAGGCTTTACTTGATACATCAATATTGATCTCTTTCCAAGAGTTACCAGTCGTTGTGTATACCTCAGCAGTGTAAGGAAGAGAAATACGATGATTATATGTTTGCTCATCATCAGAATATTCACAATTTTCTATAATTCGCACAACCTTGTATTCTTTAGCTTTGCAATCATAGCCAAATCCCAATGCCCGAAAGGTCGTTTCCAATTCGAATTTTCTCTCAGGAGGGGCAGGTAGAAGAAGGCATGAATCGGGAAGTTGCCTGAATTCCCCAATTGCAGGATTGCATAAAACAACATTTTTCCCTGTAATTACACAGAAAATACCATCGCAATAACCGTGAATCAATACAGGATGATGGTATTCCATTGGAAACGGTATATTTAGGTCCTCAACATTATAATGAAGGTTGTGCTCATCACTATCAATGGAAAGATTAATCATGGACCATAAAACTTCATACTTCCAACTGTCGTCCGGGAAAACGGGCATTTCAGAACGGTTGAGAAGGATACAAGTGGAGGTTGAGAGTTTGTTGTCCATAGAATTACTGAGGTGTTTGGCCACAAAACTTGAACTTTTGATGAGAGTGCACCAAGACTTGTGTATGCATTTGAATCGCATGAGAGACTTGGGCGGCAACCTCGACAGGATTTCGACCACCTTATCTTCAGGAGTTTCACTTTTCCGTATCTGGGACATTCCTGTAGGTTTGTTCCACATGAATTCTTCACATGTACATATACACAGTAAAGAACACCAAAGTTTAACACACAAACTAAATCAAACGCCAAGTCCCTAAAGCCTGGTAGATCGAGGTTCAATTATTAAACAAATTACCACATCATATGCCCAATTAGTACTAAATAAACTTGGAGTTCCATAACCATAACATATTTAGCTATTGAAGAAAACAAGGGCAATCCAGAGTTGGCGAGTTTTTTAAAGAAAACATGGTCAATTCAGTCAGTTGCGATTTTTATGGAAACTCATACGTTCAATTTACTATATATTTTTTTATTTTTTTATTCATATTAAAAATAACCATTCAAATTTTAGTTTATAAGTCTACATTAAATAGATGAGGTGAGCATGATATTCATATATGAGCCAACATGTGACATCACATGATTTCAATTAACTAACAAAGGAAAATTCATATATTCACACGAGTTTTAATTAGTTAAGCTATTTTTTCATTAGAAATACAATCACATAATTGCTTCCTTATTACAACTAAGAGCTTTTCTATTTAAACACCACCTTGCATTTAAGTTTACCCTAATTTCTATCCACGCCCCATTAAAAATGAATTTTTTTTAACCTTTTTCTAAATAAGGACGATGAAGTGGTGAACTTAGAAAAAGGTTCGGTTTTTGCGGTTCTAAAATGTTATTGGTTTGAAACCAAACTGCAGTATGAAAAAACAAGTTGGTTTCGGTTTTGAACATTTAAAACCAACCGAAACTGAACCGTACCACAAATTAAAAAATATATATTTCATTTAATATCATTGACTAGCTGATCAAGGATGAGGATATATATGCACCTGAACGATAAGGCCCCTACCCTTACCATCAAAAGACTCTCAAAGGTATAGAGTACATTCAGATGAAGAGGATCGAGAACCCGGTGCACAGGCAGATTACTTTCAGCAAGCGCTGGGCGGGGATCTTGAAGAAGGCTAAGAAGTTATATGTGCTGACTGATGCTGAGATTGGAGTTTCCATTTTCTCCTTCCATGGAAAGCTCTTTGAACTAGCCACCAAAGGATCTCTAGCTCTCTACCTATTTCTGTATAATAATAATAATATATCTTGTTATTTTAGTAGATAGTTTCAAATACCATATATTAAGTTGTGTAATTTTTTTAGTACATTAATAGAAAGAAAATTTAGACGGTGAGAGTACAATAGCCAAAACCATCAACTTGCGCTCTGACCCGACCAAGGAAGATTCAATTCGAGGCTTATTGATAATCCACGATCAACTTCCTTATCAAAGGCCTAAGTGTTAATTAACTCTTTTTTTTCTATTGAACATTGACAGTACGAGAAACTTTTTATTGATATTTAAGAAAAAAAGGCTTTTAGAGGTTATTTTAGTACTATTGGACAACATGATACGGGTTGTGTTGTATCCCTTATTCAGGTTGGATAGACCTGAAAAAGCCTTTAGAGGTGCATTTTTAGGTATGATATTAGTAAAATAATGACGTTCACACAATATTGTGTCCGTAGTTGAATTGTATGCCTGACAACTAACTTCCCCACTAAACATACCTAGAAATAAATTAATTGAATCGGTCACATGAAAAAATATACTTTCATTTATTTAATTAATAATTTGAGAAAATAATATCCATAAGATAATCTTCCAAAAATTTAAGACAAAAACACCAAACAATTAATCTAAATTACATAGAAAATTGTGCGAAAATGTAAACTAAAAAATTAAAGAGGAGGAGGAGGTGGGTGAACTGGATCACACTTCGGCCATGCCTTAGCAGTTCTAATGTTCCATATGTGCAGATGCCTCTTGAAAATCTGAAATCTCCAAAGTTGTTTCTTCTTTTTTACAAAGTATTAATAGAAATTGGGAAGGTTGTTTCTTCTTTTTTACAAAGTATTAATAGAAATTGGGGTAAATTTAGATGAAAAGGGGTTCTGTGATTGTATTTCTAATGAAAAAATGGCTTAATTTATTAGCTTGTGTATGATTATGTGAATTTTCCTTTCGTAGTTAACTTAATGTAGAATTAAAACGTAAAATTTCAATGGTTATTTGTGCATCATTAAAAAAAAAAGTAATCATAGTAAAATTTAAACATATGGTCCACCATAAAACTCGAAACTTACTGGCTCGCTTCTGTTTTCTTTGATAGCTATACATGTTGTGGTCATGGAATTCCAAGTTAATTTAGTACTGTTGGATTTTAGCATCTTAGTAATAATATGTTTAGTAATTGAACCTTGACCTAACAGGCCATAGAGACTAGGAGTTTGATTTAGTTTTCTCAAACTTGTGGTGTTTTTTCCTGTGTATATATACGTGTGAAGAATTCATGTGGAACAAAACTACCAAAATGTCTCAGGTGCATGAAAATGAAACTCTGGAAGATAGAGTGGTCGAAATCCTGTCCAGGTTGTTGCCCAAATCTCTGATGCGATTCAAATGCATACGCAAGTCTTGGTGCACTCTCATCAATAGTCCAAGTTTTGTGGCCAAACAGCTCAGCAATTCTGTGGACAACAAATTCTCATCCTCCACTTGTATCCTTCTCAACCGTTCTCAGACTCATGTTTTCCCAGACAATAGTTGGAAACAAGAAGTTTTCTGGTCCATGATCATCTTTCTATTGATAGTGATGAGCACAACCTTCATTATGATGTTGAGGACCTAAATATACCATTTCCGCTGGAAGATCAGGATTACGTATTGATTCTCGGTTATTGCAATGGGATTGTTTGTGTATCAGCAGGTAAAAATATTCTTTTATGCAATCCTACAACGAGGGAATTCATGCGACTTCCCAGTTCATGCCTTCTTCTACCTTCCCATCCCAAGGGAAAATTCGAATTGGAAACGGTCTTTCGAGCATTAGGATTTGGCTATGATTGCAAAGCTAAAGAATACAAGGTAGTGCAAATTATAGAAAATTCTGAGTATTCAGATGATGAGCGAACATATTATCATCGTATTCCTCTTCCTCACACGGCTGAGGTATACACAACGGCTGCTAACTCTTGGAGAGAGATCAAGATTGATATATCAACTAAAACTTATTCCTGTTCTTGTCAAGTGTACTTGAAGGGATTTTGTTATTGGTATGCAACGGATGCTGAGGAATACATACTTTCATTTGATTTAGGTGATGAGATATTTCATAGAATACAATTGCCTTCTAGAAGAGAATCCGGTTTTAAGTTTTATTATATCTTTCTTCGTAATGAATCCCTTGCTTCGTTTTGCTCTCGTTACGATCGAAGTGATAAGTCTGAATCATGTGAAATATGGGTAATGCACGACTATGATGGAGTAAAGAGTTCATGGACAAAACTACTAATCATTGGACCCTTACAAGCCATTGGAAAGCCATTGACATTTTGGAAAAGTGACGAGCTTCTTATGCTTGCCTCTGATGGAAGAGCCACCTCTTATAATTCTAGTACTGGAATTCTCAAATATCTTCATATTCCTCCTATTCTCAATAGGGTTGTAGATTTCCAAGCTCTTATTTATGTGAAAAGTATTGTTTCATTCAAGTGAGTTGAGTGCAAAGTTCCATTTCCTCATATTTAATTTGTATTCATGATATAAGGCTTGCGTTTGCATCTTTTAATTTAATTGCTTTGTGTCCTTTGCACTATTTTGTAATGTTATTCGATTTGGAAGTGTATGAAAACTATTTTCTTTAGAGTTAATTAATAATAACAATTCACATTTTTTTGACTCATTTAACATAACAAAGTTAAACCTTCCAGCGTAGAAGTGCAAACTTTTATAAGTAAAATTCAGGATTCTAAAAAAAAATTACGCAAAATATTTATAGCCTTTTAGCCCCTAATCGTAGTTTGTAAAATACGGAATAGCTATAGTATGTGAAAGATACGTACGTATATTATTCGACAACTTTTCTAAACATTACTTTGAAAAATTCAGCCACTTTTTTTTTTTAATTTTAATATTTATGTATTTATTTTAATTAATTAAATAATTATATTAAGTTATACGTGTTGACTATGTGAATTATATGTATTATTAAAAAAATGTGTGACAATAACTGGTATTAAACATTAAAAATACGTATTTACATGTATAAAACTTGTATTGTACGTTTGACTTTTAAAAAAAACGTGCAATTTAACAAAACATTAAAATGTGTATAGAAAATAGAAGTATTTTTTTCAAAATACGTAAATTCGTGTATAATATGTGATTTTACTAACTATGCCCGTAACCTCTCATCAATAAAACAACAAAAATTATAAGAAACTAGATTTCATGTGAAGTATCATTTTGAGCAGCAAGAAGTGACACGCATTTTATGATTTCATAATTTTAAAATCATCAAGGAAAATAATGAGTGTATCCACCATGTAGTATTACTGCACTAAGGTGTGAGAAAACGAAGAAATGACCCACATGAAATGTTTAGCAATGGACCAAGTCTCCCATATCGAATTGATTTTTAGATTAAAACTCAACCCTAAAGCCTTAATAAGAAATTGTTGTTGCAAATAGCAATAGTTATAATTGCCGTTTTAGCCAAAAATGATCTATGAGATTGATATAACTCATCACTTTAGTCACTAATAATGAAAACCGATAAAACTGGTTCCTGAGTTTATCCACCACAAATCATTTTGGTTCACTCGCAAAAAATCTATCAATATCCTTGTTAAATTGTCATGTGAACAACTACGTGACCACCATTTTAAGGGTATTTTTGTCAAATGGACCACTCGACTTGATGAGGATATTGACGAATTTTTCATGGAAAAACTAAAATGATTTACAGCGGTCGAACTCAGGGCCACTTCTATCGATTTTTATAATCAGGGATTAAAGTGAGGAGCTATGTCATTCTCAAGATCATTTGGCCAAAAAGCCTTGTAAATTTCAAAAGTTTTGTGGCGTATTTTATACGAGAGAGAGAAAGGGTGCGGCATCAGTAGAGAGGGGAGAAATTGTAGAATGCTTTGCGATTTTGTGATTCTCTCTATGGCAGTGCCTTTATTTATAGTAAACCAAGAGGAGAGGATTAACTTGTCCTCCAAGTAAGTACAATCCTATAGGGAAAGAATCTCTAGAATAATGGATAATCTAGAATCCAAATCTAACTAGAATTCACTCAGTCACGTACTAAATATTCATAACATTTCCCCGTGAGTGTGTAAATACTCAA